CATATTTAAATATTGTACGACAAATATTACCTAAACAAGTCGAATAGGCCCCAATATAATGATTATTCCCTATATCCGATTTTTTTTTTTTTTTTTTTTTGATCGGTCAAACTTAGCTGTTTTTACTTGTTTCTTATCATGACAACAGTAAAGATGACACAAATGCAGTTCATTCGGCACTACTTTGTGCAGAGGACGGTGTCACCTAATACACAAATGAGATGCTGAATTATCAGACATGTAACAAAGACCGATTGGATTCAATTTCGTAATTTAAAATCGATCGTTTTTGTTTAAAAGAATGTTTTTGGTGTGAAAAGAAAGTTACAAAATAGATGGGAGGAATTTGAAAGATGCTTCGGACCCCTTGTCCTATCGCAGTGCAGTGTGAGTATTTTAATAATAACTTCGGTTTCAATTTTCTAATTTTTAGTTATTTAATTCGACCTTTATTTTAAATTATTTCAAATGTAAATTCAATAAAATTCAGCTCGAGGTATTCATTTTTGTTGTTGTTATTTATTTCGATTCGAAATTTCGTCCTCCGATGGAAGACATCATCAGGAAAAATAATATTTAAATATATTGCAAAACCAGTAAAGAAAGTCTTAAAGTCGGGCGGAGCCGACTTTATGATCCCTACACCACTTTGCTAATTTAGTAGAGCTCCGCATAACAATTAAAAGTTCATACACGCTATGATTATAATTTAAAGATCAAAGGACTTAATATGCCGAAGCATTTATATCTTTTAAATTCGGACTTGTATTACCCATTTGGTGCACAATTAACTTGAAATCGGATAAAGATATATACGGTAGCTATATCCAAATCTGAAACGATCTAGATAAAATTTGGCAAAGATATTTCTGAGCTGTATTTGATATATTTCCCTGAATATCGTTGTTACGGAGTGCATATTACGGCTGTGGGTAACAAATGTAACAAATCGGATGAAGAGTATATATGGGAGCTATAGCTATATCTAAACCGATCTTCAGCAAATTTTACATACTAGCTTCTAGACTCAATTCGGTCGTAATTGCCAAATTCCATCCCATTTGGACAAATATTAGACGTTTGGTGCACAAAAAAAGTAAATCGGACGAAGATATATATGGGAGCTATATCCAAACCTGAACCGATCTCAACAAAAATTAGTAAATGTATTTCTGAGTTGTATTTGATATATTTCCCAAAATATTGTTGTTACAGAGTGCATATTACGGCTGCGGAGGACAAAAATAACAAATCGAATGAACAATATATATGGGAGCTATAGCTATATCTGAACCGATTTTGATAAAATTTGGCATACTTATTTTCAGGCCTAATCTGGTTGTATGTGCAAAATTCCATATCATTCGGCCTGATATTACACGTTTGGTTCACAATAAAAGGCAAATCGGACGAAGATATATATGGGAGCTATATCTAAATTTTGACCGATTATCTCCAATTTCAATAGGGTTCGTCCTTGGGCCAAACAAATGATTTGTGCAAAATTTCATCTGGAAAGGGCAATAAATACGATCTGTACTTTGTTTACAAAAATACATGGACAGACGGACGGACGGACATGCATAAATCGACTCAGAATGTGATTCTATGCAGATCATCAAAAGGAACTATGGGTCTATCTCGTTTCCTTTTGCCTGTTACAAACAAATGCACAAAGAGATAATACCTTGACCACCTTGTGGTGTAGAGTATAAATAGCCAAAATCTTGCCCCCCTTTTTCTAGGTTGTCAAACCTTTTTTCTCATTGCAAAATTTGCAAGGGACAATTATTTCACATTTTTAAACGTCATATTTTACGAAATATTTCTTAGCTCTATATTTGTTTTTACTGGTAAACTGAAAGGCTGCTAGAGGTGACGGCAGCTTATAATCGTGGCGACGCACTCGAGTTCTGCAGTCGTTTTCCTTTATAATTTGACATTTGAATACAATACTACGTTGCCAAACTACGTATGTATCATCGCGTTTACGTTGTAAAGGATTGAGAATACCCAGACGGTTTAAATTGTCAATTCCATTGCGCATATCTCAAATACATCTTAAAATAAAAAAAAGATTAACCCAAAAAAACAAAAACTCTAATGTAAAAATTACTTTAAAAAATTGTGTGGCGCCTAAAAGTATGCAATTCTAATTCTTTCGATGAACGGAGTGTTTGCATCAATGGTTATTAGCTGTCCTGTTTTTTTACACATTTCATTTTCTCACGGACAGCTTGCGGCCGCATAGGCTAATGAGCACATAAAGGGTGTCCCAACTAGAACTCAATTGTTAAATTTTAAATCAAATACAGATATTAAAAAAAATTGTGAAAATTTATTGTATCAGAAGAAGATTATGTATGGAACGAGATTCGATGCAGATGGCCGCCGCGGCTTGCTGGTACACACGCGACCATCTTGTTAAACCACATGAAATGTCGGTTTTGACTTTTTGCCCAGATGGCTCTCAGCACGATTTTGCTAGTCGACCTACTCGACTTTTCAATAAACATTTAATCGTTTTTTAAGAACTTCTGTTGTTGCAAAATGACCAGGCTTATTCCCTTTATTGTTGTTTTTATGAAAACAACGTTTGTTTATTATTGGAGAACGATGGTAATGTTTACCAGGCAGGGAATACCTAGGATTCGGAAAAAGCCACCAATCCTCCTCAGTTCCCTTGTTTTTTTTTTTTTTTTGTGCTATGGCAAAAAACAACCGAAGGTGCACATTTTCAGCTGACCTCTTTGGCAAGTAAACACGATCATTTTGTTTGTTTACAAACGGCTGGACAACGAATGTGTTCTCATCGGAGAAAACCAATTTAGGCAGTTCACCACTTTCGGTCAAGCGAAGCAACTCTTTACCTCTTTTGAGTCTATTTTCTTTCTGTTGCGGTGTAAGTCCTTGCACTTTTTGGAATTTCAATAGCTTCACCCCGAGCTCATTTGTATACCCCGGACCACGTCTTTGTATAGTCTCCATATAACGGTTTTCATTTGAGCGGTATTTTCCGACAGAATTTTATGTTTTGAAATTTTTCAAGTTTCTTCCAGAAGGTGGAAGGTATAAAAAGTTGGTCCCGGCCAAACTTAGCTGATTTTATACCCTTCACCATACTATGGAGGGTATATTAACTTTGTCATTCCGTTTGTAACTCCTCGAAATACTCATGTCAGACCCAACAAAGTATATATATTCTTGATCAGCGTAAAATTCTATTTTATTCTATTCTATCGATTTAGCGATTTACGTCTGTCTGTCTGTCCGTCTGTCTGTCTGTTGTAATCACGCTATCTTTCGAATGAATTGAGATAGATGGCTAACATTTTGCACACATGTTTGTTTTTCCAGTAGGCAGGTTAAGTTCGTAAATGGGCCATGTAGGTCCACGTTTTCATAAAGCCCCCATATAGCGGTACCTCCCGATATTCGGTATTTGGATGATTTTAGCGACATTATTCACCGGAATTGTTTCAAATTTGGTATTTGAAGTTCCAAATGGATACTACACCCCAAGATAGAAATTTGTCTGTGCAAGTCCATGTCTTCGTATAGCCCCCAGATAACGGTACCTCCCGATATTCGATATTTTGATGATTTTAGCGACATTTTTCCCGGAAATAATTTAAAGTTTGGTATTTGAAGTTCAAAATGGATACTACACCCTAAGACAGAAAATTGTCTGTGCAGGTCCACGTCTTCGTATAGCCCCCATATAAAGGTACCTTCCTATATTCGGTATTTTGATGATTTTAGCGACATTATTCACCGGAATTGTTTCAAAACTGGTATTTGAAGTTCGTAATGAATACTGCAGTCTAAGATAGAAATTTGTCTGTGCAAGTCCATGTCTTCGTATAGCCCCCAGATAACGGTACCTCCCGATATTCGATATTTTGATGATTTTAGCGACATTATTCACCGGAAATAATTTAAAGTTTGGTATTTGAAGTTCAAAATGGATACTACACCCTAAGACAGAAAATTGTCTGTGCAGGTCCACGTCTTCGTATAGCCCCCATATAAAGGTACCTCCCTATATTCGGTATTTTGATGATTTTAGCGACATTATTCACCGGAATTGTTTCAAAACTGGTATTTGAAGTTCGTAATGAATACTACAGTCTAAGATAAAAAATTGTCTGTGCAAGTCCATGTCTTCGTATAGCCCCCATATAACGGTACCTCCCGATATTCGGTATTTTGATGATTTTAACGACATTATTCACGGGAATGGTTTCAAATTTGGTACTTGAAGTTCAAAATGGATACTCCACCCTAAGACAGAAAATTGTCTGTGCGGGTCCAGGTCTTCGTATAGGCCCCATATATCAATATCTCCCTATATTCGGTATTTTGACGATTTTAGGTATAATACCCACCGAAATTGTTTGAGATGTGGTATTTGAAGTTCGTAATGGATGCTACAGCCTATGGCAGAAAATTGTCTATGCTGGTCCAGGTCTTCGCACAGCTCCAACATAACGGCACCTCCTTATATATGATATTTTGATGATTTTAGCTACATTATTCACCGTTTATTTCAAGTTTCGAATTTGAATATGGTAATGGCTTATGACAAACAATGCCTATGTATGTCCACGTCGTATAGACCCCAATATAACGGCTATATTCGGTATTTTTAAAATTTTAACAGAATTTTTTAAGGATTTTATCTTTTGAAATTTTTCAAATTCGTTGCAAATGGTGGAGGGTTTTAAAAGTTCGGCCCGGCTGAACTTACTGCTTTTTAACTTGTTTTAATTGTTATCGTTCGATTTAATTTTGGATTAGCTTTATTTTGACCAACAAATGGTATTATATGTTGAAAGGGAACTAATTACTAGTTCTAATGGCAAGTGGACATTCACCCGAGAGAGTCATACAAATAAATTCGATTACCGTTCTAAGAGAGTGAGAAAGTATCTTTGAATCTAAAAGGTGTTCGGATTCTGTTTGTTTACCACAGAGAGTGGAATGAACGAACTGGCAAGTAAAAATGTCTGACAGTTGGAGAACATCGTCGTTGCATGCGAGTGCATTGTTTGTGCATAAACCAAACACCGTCGGGACACTTAAAATTATCGCAACATGAGTTCGCAAGACGAAACAAAGGAGAGAGAAGAAAAGCTAGAGGATGAACACATCAAAAAATATGGGCTGAAAATAAAACTCCTGGTGTTGCATTGTCGTGGAGAAATTTCAGAATTGGGCCATAAAATAGCAGAAAATTTCAAATCGAATTTAGACTATGTGTACGAAGGTGTTCAGAAAATCTTTGACTGCATTCGATACTCGAAATTTCTTCAACATTCCACCCTGATGATTGTCATCAATGGCTATTGTCTGTGCTACATTCACGTATTGGAACTCATACTATTTTTAATACGGAACAATGAATACTTGCGCTACAAATCCAAGCTGATTATATTGAATAATGTCGTCCGTTGTCCGTGTCGATCTCGTTTCCGATACATTCGTCCATTGGAGGAGACCGAGCTGAATTGTGGCAAATACGATAACACCATCATATTCTTTAACGATGTTCAAGTTGAACTGGATGTTGCCCAATGTTATCTGGTGTGCCTGCTTATTGCTCAGTCCAAGCCAAGGGAAACAATTGCCCAGATCTTAACACCTGGAGAACGTTCCGGTAAACATGAGTGCATTAAGAAGTCAACAAATGTGGATCTATATTTTTATAACATCAATCCGGCATTAGCCATTATCGTGAATAACTATTATTTCACAAGTCCTCAACAGGTCCGGGAGGGTAGTGAATATGATGTTCTGAATTTAATGCGTGAACTGAAAACTGCACGCATTCCCTTTATCCTTATCGAAGATTGCGATCGTGCCCAGTTGCTACAAATCTTGGAATATATCGAACGAAAAGATTTCCAGCCGTTAAAAAGCTTCCTCTTCTTCATTATGTCACATGGAGATTCGAATGACATCATTTATACACACGATGGTCAGCTGAATATTAGGACCGATGTGGTAGAAAAAATTCAAGCCAATCCTTCACTGGATGATGTGGAGACATTGATTGTGTTGAACGCCTGTCGCGGCCCCATTGACCTGGAATATGCCACTTGCGGGGATTTAGAGCAAATAAAACCCTCCGATGCTAGTCACCTGAAAAGGAACACCATACTATTGTACAGTGTGCCCGATCGTGTACAATCACCTCGTTGTCCTCGCGAAGGATGTCCTTTAATTTGGAGCTTTTGCCAAAATTTTCATCGCAGTGATCATACCCATGATATTCGTATTATTGGTGATCAAATTAATTCGGATCTTCAAAAGATGTATTACTTCGATGGTGTTGACACATGTTCCGAACTACTGACAAATAGTAAAGGCAGGCCCCATAACATTTTAAAATTGCCCTCAAATGCTGTAACAATGTTGGAGTTAATCGATTCAATTCTAAAAGATTTCCCCATTTCTCGTAAGAATAGCGACGCTGATGATTGTCATAAACTGCAAACAATGTTCCATATTTGTGGTACACTTAATGAACGGAAATTTCCCAAATTATCTATAGTTGAGAAATATTTTAATACAAATTTGGATGTGGACAAATATTGAGTTTAGTCTCAACATTTGCTATTTTTTTAGTAAATAAAACAACAATTTTTTTTTTTTAACTAAGACTCTTATCAAAATTATTGTGTTGCGTAAAATAATACCCCCGCATTGCATTACGCCGGGAGTTTCAGTTAAGTTTTAGCCTATGGCCGTTTTATTAATTCAAAACTTACTACTAACATAGGTAAAATGGCTTAAACCTAACAATACGATAAATAAACATGCACTTATACAACGCCTACTTTACTTTAACTAAAAGTACCACAACATATTTGTGGACACAACTTGTTACTTTATGCCTTAAGGCTACTTTTTTTAAGTATGCCCCGAAAATTAGAAACTGAGCTGAGAAAAATTTACGAACTAGATAATGAAAATTAAAATTAAATATTTACAATACGCTTAAAACTACTTAAACTAAATTATGTAAACTGGGCGGTGTTATACACTAGTCTACTCCAATCCGGGTCTAAAAATCTCCTCTGAAAGAATAGAAGACCTTCTTAGCAAGGGCAGCAGGAGGCAAATGCTTCCCAGCTTCGAGCTGCCTCCGGCATCCTCAAACATTTGCCTCCGCATCCTCAAAGCACCTCTACATTCCCCCAACGATGCTATTATCTAAGAACTGACATTTGTCTTAGAATGCCAGTCCAGACTTCATCATGAAGACATCTATTCTTTCTATTTGCGCCCTATCGTAGATCGCGCTACAAAAAATAGGCTCTATAGGAACCCTGTCCTACGGAAGGGGCATAGACCCAGACAAGAGGAGAGTATTTTTCTTTCCCACACCCTTAGTCTTTCCATCTGGTGAGACGAAATGTCAAACCAGACGGGGAAGGCATAGGCGACGATAGGTCTGATCACCTGCCGGTAGATCAAAAGTATACGGAGAAATCACAAAATTTTATAACTTATGCAGTTCAACTGTGCAAACTGTAAGAAGAATTTATAATGTAAGCGGTACAACTGGATATAAAGCATGATAGGATTACCAGCCTTAAAAGTTTTCCAAACGAGGTGTTAGCAGTATTCTCAAGAAAGTACGTCAGGATTCAAAAATTAGTGCTCCGAGAACTGTACGAACTGTGCTACATGGGAGCAAAGAAGCTAATGTCAGAGAAAATACGAAAACTTCGCCTAGAGTGTGCCAAACTACATACAGGGTTGCCCATATTCGACGGACCTTTGGGCCCATTCCAATCGACGAGGCTTGTCCGCAGGCAACATTCTTTGCGTCAATTGAATTTTGTACGGGAACAAATGCAAATCAATGCGAATAATCCGTTGTAAAGTGAACCGAGCCATGCCCAACTGCTGAGAACGGCGTTTTTGGGATGTTCTTGGGGACCTCTCAACACCGGCTCGTACGGCAGCGATATTCTCGGCCGATCGCCTTGGTCGACTTTTATATGGCCTCTTCGGATTAGAAAGAGCCTTACCAGTCGAAAATGTTTTGTATAAACGCTCAATGGTGTTCTTAGAAGGCGCACTTCTCACATTTTTTAATGTTTTAAAAGCACGTTGAGTTTTCACAATTGACTTCTTTTGTTGAATGTACATTTCAGAGCGCTCGCGTGGCGTGTATTGGTTCATGGTAAAAATCTGCTTGGACTGACGCTTCAAACGCGTTATGTCATTAAGCGATGTGACATCTCTGTCAAAAGTTATGGCGTTGCCAGATGGGTCCGTCGAATATGGGCAACCCTGTATTAACAAAGACATTTATTATTGGAATCGCATTCTATTTACCGACAAAAGTGAATACAACACTATCGGAAGTTATGGCCGATCAAAATTTTGGAGAAAATCCAACACAGCACTATATCTCAAAAATATAATACCTACAGTTAAACACCGTGGTGGCATTGTAATGGTTTGGCGGGCAATTTTTTGGCTTCTGAAGCGGGGGATTTAGTTTTTATAGAAAGCACTATGGACCGATATTTATATAAGAGCATGCTAGAAGAACATTTAAAGCCATCTGTCGATAATTTGGGGTTCGAAAACAAAACACTGATCCGAAGCATACAGCTCCGAGGCTGACTCCTTTAGTAAGCTCCAAAACAACTTAATTAACCTCCCCAGTCGACGGACCTCAATCACATAGAACATGTTTGGGATATTTTAGAAAAAAGTAAGAAAATATGACGTTAGTAGCCGTCGAACCCTAAAAACAGCCCTAATTTGAGCATGGTCTGAAATAACGCCCGATATAATTGCTAGCAGCTGTTGTTGACGCTAACGGTGGACCGATAAAATAGTGAAAAAAAAAATAAAAATATTTTATAGTAAAAAAAATAATTAACGTGATCCAATTATATCTGATGTTGACTTTCCAAATGATTTTTTTTAGTTGTTATACCCTACAACACTTTGTGTTGGGGGTATTATAAGTTTAATTGGACCGAAAATTATGTAAAACCTCGAAATTTTGGTTTCCCACATAGGAAAGCATATATGGATCTTCCTATCTCGCCGAGCTGAGTCGATCTAGCTATGTATGTCCGCCCGTGCGTCTGTCCATGTTAATTTGTTATCAAGCTACAGGACGCAATTATGGCCCGATCTTAACGAAATTTAGAGTAGAGGTGGGGCTAGAGCCAGAATAGAAAGAAGCCTATTGCTTTTGGATGATCGCATAATATTTAGGGGTTGAAATGGACCAAAAACTAAAAAATGTCCTGATTTTGCAGTTGCTCTGTAGGTCGCAATTATAGAACAATCGACGCGTTAGCATGAGGCTAGAGCTTAGGAAGCCTACAGCTGGGCTGAAGCCTTCCAATTTTATTATTGGGTGAAATATATCATAACATTTGTGTTAAATAATAGTCAAATTTTCCATTAAGCCACTAATATTTTTAATCCCGGCGAAATCACAAATAGACGAACAGGTCAATTCTGACCGTTACGTAGATGCCGATTTTTTTTATAGACGTTTCTTTTTAATGGAGTTTAGCACCATTTCCGCTTAGCGCCATAAATTTGTGACAACATTTTCATTGATTGAAAAAAATCCAAACTCGCTACCCTCTCCCGATTATGAAAAGATAAACAATACGTCGGCTCCACCACACCTGACCTAGTCCAAAAAATTATGAATGAATCTCGTGAAATGTTAAACAAAAATTGCGTCAGCCAATTGTTGTGGCAAATGGTAAACGACATCTATACATATGTGTGTACACACGTATGTGTTTTAACATTCGCCAATGTACATGAAGAGCGCGTGAGAGTGAGTAAAATTAAACAGATGTTATTTCACAAGTGTTCTCTTTGGGTATTTTAAATGAGAGGATTTTAGTGATGACAACTAATTTGACTTTTCCAGCAAATAGAATACGCGATTTTTAATTTTTTATGCCCTCCACCATTGATTAGGAGTTTTACGAGCTTCATTACTTTTCAAAATTAGGACGTTGTGAAGGACGTATCAGAAGGAATGAGCCGATACATTTCATATTTACACCAGATTGTGTTTATTAAACTATTGGGATATGTGAAATTTGAACACAATCGAACTTTTATTTCACATTTTTTAAGGTGCAAGTGCATAACAAGCTTGAAGTCATGGCTAGGCATATTAATGTCAAATTATAATGGAAAACGACGGCAGGATTTTAGTGCGGCTCTGTAATCCCTTTATGAAATGTCACAAAATATGCCTAGCCATGACTTCAAGCTTCTTATGTACTTAGACCCTTAAGAGTTATAATTATTTGAAATATTGACCCTTTGTGGGGAGGACTTCATGGAATGGGAAACTCGATGTAAGTTAGACAATACTCGATCTAAGTTTGACAACATTATTACGATGTAGCAAGTTTGGACCAAATCGGATACTCCCTTCGAGAGTTATCGTGCGCACCTACCAGCCAGACGGACGGATACCCTTAGATCAACTCCAGATGTCCTGAAACGGTTTTGGTCAAAAGATACCTAGTGTCTAAAACCGTTATTAAATGATATACAGGGTAAAAAACTGCAACAAAGTCAAACGCCATAATATTTACATTTTTTTTTTAATTTTATTGAATGAATGCAAAAAATGTCAAAGCATCAAATTTTAGAATAAGTTAAGGATTGTTCGAATTGGTACCTTTGGCACGAATTATGGCCAAACGGCCAATGAAACCGTCACACACTGCCCGAATGTTGCTCTGCGGTATTTTTGACCCATTTAAGGCGAAGCGCTTGCTTGAGATGATCGACACTTTGGTATTTTTTAGTGCCAACCTTGTTTTCCAAAATACTGCAGACACAATAGTCCAACGGATTGGTATCTAGAGATTTTGGTGGCCATTGTGCGCTGGAAATGAAGCGAGGAACCCCATTTTGTAACAATTCTTGGGTGGCGTTTACTGAGGGTGATAGTGCTAAGTACTGTTGAAATGTCCAAGGTCTGCGTCCAAAATTTTTGCGGGCCCAAGTACTTAGTACAACCTCCAGAATATTCGGCATTTTTTCTGATGTCACGGTCCATTAATACGAGCGGAGAGCGACCATCGGCTATTATGGCGGCCCACACCATCACCACGGCCGGCGCTTGAGTTTTGGTGGCCAACCGATCGTGCACATTTTCAGCTGACCTCTTTGGCATTTTGTTGGTTTACAAACTGCTGGACAATGAATGTTTTCTCATCGGAGAAAACCTAATTCTGTATTTCAGCACTTTCGGCCAAGCGAAGCAACTCTTCAGCTCTTTTGAATCTAGTTTCTTTCTGTTGCGGTGTAAGATCTTGAAATTTTTGGAATTTCAATGGCTTTACCACGAGCTCATTTTTTTAATAGTTGCTTAATGGAATATTGCGATATGTTCAGCCCACAAGCCATTTTTCGGGCACTGCGACGCGAGTTTCGATCAAGTCGTTTCTTTACTTTTCGAACCATTTCTGATGTTGCGGTTTTCTTCCGTCCACTTTCCTGTCGTCGGGCTACGCTACCAGTATCACGGTAACGAGCGATGGTACGAGACACAAAGGATTTATTCATATTTAAATGCTGGATAGCCACTTGTGATTTTCCAGCCAAATATAAAGAAATCACACTATCAC